TTATAATATTTTATTAGTTAATTATTAGTATTTCGTTATAAAATTATAAAATTGAAATTCAATTTTATTTGTTAGTTCTATTAACGGAATGCTAACAGTCAGTTATTAGTTAATTAATAAAATTAACAATCAATTAATAAAACTAACAATCAGTTAACAGAACTAACAAAACATTTTGTTAGTTCTGTTAGTTAACTATTAGCATTTCATTATAAAAAATATGAAATTTAAATTCAATTTTATTTGTTAGTTCTATTAACGGAATATAAACAGTAAGCTAACAGTTAATTAATAGAGCTAACAGTCAGTTAATAAAATTAACAATTAATTAATAAAACTAACAGTCAATTAACATAACTAACAAAACGTTATAACTTAACACTAAATAATTAAATAAAGGTTTCTTTTTTTCAATTCATGTAAATGAGATGTTAAAAGTGACATAATATAAAGTAAGGATTTAAAACTTACAAATTTATTAAGGTAAAAAGTTAAAACCAAATGTTTGCCTATATATATATGGGTGGTTTTTTTATAAGGGTTTATGTAATTTATATTTTAAAGATATAGATTAAAAATATATTAAATATATTTTTTTATTATTAATTTATATTAAAAAAATAAAATTTAATATTTTTTTATTAATTATCTAATTAAATACACCTATTTAACATTGATATTAAAATTAATATTAATTTCTATAATATTAATATTAAGATGTCCTAAAGGCACATATTATTTTTTCAAAAGAAAAGTTCATCCAATTTTAAAATCAGCAGTTTTTCGTAACACTTCATGTATTAATCTAAGTTTTTATTTGGTTAAATGCTAAATTTGGTCCCTTAACTTTAGTGAGTTGTACATTTTTAGTCCCTTAACAATTTTTTGCACTTTTTTGATCCCTAAACTTTAATAAATGCACTCTGTTAGTCTTTCTGTTAATTTAGATCGTAACTCGCATATGTGGCATTTTTTATAGTTTTTTTGATGACATGACGAAAGCAAATTAAAAAAGTGTTGATGTGAAATTTTTTTCATGACAACTCATGCCAACTCATATAATTAGTATTTATATTTTAAAAAAAAAATAAAAAAATTCGATCCATCTTCTTCCTCTCTTTTTTTCTCTTTCTTTCTTCCTCTTCTTCCTCAGGTCATCGAACCCAGTTTGCTGGGTTCGACGGAACCCCGCCTAGGTTCCACTGAACCCAGATCTGTTGGGTTCAACAGAACCCAACCTGGGTTCCATCGATTCCAGTTGCTGGGTTCGACGAAACCCAGCAAATGGGTTCCATCGAACCCAGATCTGTTGGGTTCGGTGGAACCCAGGCTGGGTTCAACGAAACCAAGCACCACTTTTTTTTTTTTGTTATATGATTGTTTGTCAAGATTATCCAAATTGCAGGCTGTTGTGAGGGATTTTTGGGCAATTGGTTTTTTTTT